TAGAGAGAGAGAGGAAGCCATGAGGGTTAGAGAGAGAGAGGAAGCCATGATGGTTAGAGGGAGAGAGGAAGCCGTGATGGTTAGAGGGAGAGAGGAAAGGGGAGCCGTGATGGCTGGAGGGCGAGAGGAAGGGAGAGCCGTGATGGCTGGAGGGCGAGAGGAAGGGGGAGCCATGATGGCTGGAGGGCGAAAGGAAGGGGGAGCCGTGATATACACTATTCTGTGCATCACCTCGTGATACTTGTCAGGTATAAGGTGCGTAAACTGAACTTGTGTTTTTAAGGCGCCAATCTGTGCATCATCTCGTGATGTACACTATTCTGTGCATCACCTCGTGATACTTGTCAGGTATAAGGTGCGTAAACTGAACTTGTGTTTTTAAGGCGCCGCCAGATTGAGACATGTCATTTTCGTCAATGTGGGGGTAGCCCCTTTTAAATCGAGAGGGGTGTTGTTGAGTGTTGTTTGTTCATTTCGACCGAGAAACATTATGTGAGTTCACAGGAAGTGTGGAAAAAACTGCGTTGAAGCGACACTACTTGCCTGTTACTGACCGTTTCTCACCATTGGCATTGCTACGCGCTAGAATTTCCCGTCATGTTCCTCTGCTACGGCCCTAAAATGTATCTGCGTATTTGCGCGCGCCATTTACGGACTGATACTACTTGCTCTCCGCAGTAAATTACCTGGAAATCCGTTGTTTTTTTGGAAACTCAACGACGACAAAGTCCTCCATTGTTGTTGACTGTATCCTACTGCCCTCTCGCGGCAATCTCATGTATATGCATTCGCCCCCCCCCCCTCTGCCAGCTGCCGTTGGCTGCGCACATCTGTGTCGCTGGGCGCGCGTTGCTAACATCTGACGACGGCTGCATGCATACAGTGGTCATAGCCAGTGCGGTATATACAACCAAGATATGATAAAACGCACGTGAACGCACATTCTTCCCGTTGTGTTCGATGCATTCTCTACATGAATAAATATATATCTATATTTAGGGTTCGGGTTAGGGTCAGAGTATTTAGGCAGGAATTTTTTTTTTAAACGTTTAAATGTTTTAAATTTTACACTTTTTTTTATTTCTTTGTACGTCTGTCACGACATCTAAGCAGAATACATTCAAGATCGCCATTACACAACCAAATCTCCATCGTAAAGTTGGTATATAAGGTCAGTGTGGCCACATATACTAAGCAGCTTTTACACTTGGGACTGCCACGGTACATCTGCATGTATTCTGTAGTATTCTGCATGATCTTGTATGCGCCATCGTCAGACTGATATGGGAGCTAAGGCACAAGGTCTACAAGCTCTCCTGCAGTCGGTCAGGGTATTCTTCAACTATGAGATCCACCAGCAACTGCAGTACACTGTCTACATGCTCCACTGAGTACATCTGTCAAAAGTAGGTGCAAAATGAACACTGATGTAAGCAATATCAAATTACACTCATCAATCTGCATGGCATTACTTCCATTACCACTTATACAGAACAAACTTGTGGCATTTTATATCGGAGTATAGCAGAGTGTACACACTCAAATACGTGATAGGAAATAACCATGATAATCTGGTATATGCATAATGTGCAACAAGGGATTTTGCACATTCATTCAATATTACCTTCATTTTTCCTTCCGAACTCACAAACACTATTGGTGTCCCTATGCTTGAAAGCTGCATGCACTGAAAATGCAATTAAAAACTAAATCTAAAAGCATATTGTCTTGCCTGAGCAAATGAGTAATGCTCGAAGACACTTTGAATCTATTACAACAATGGAAAAGTAACACAGGCCATTTTATCGGAACGTGCAGATTTTTCCCGTGGAGGTTATAGTGACTATCCACTTTTTCAGTGGGAACCGCTGTTTTTTTAACGAAACTTTAGATTCACAGTACTTCAGACAAGAGTGTGAGGTTGATGCTAAACTCGTAGCTGGTTTTTTTTTTTTTATATGGGAAGGTTATGGAGAACACTGCCAAGATGGGCACACTTACAGACAGATGTATCTTGAAATGCTGGTAGAAATGTAACTCTAGGCTCTTGTGAAACGTGTGCACCTCACTTTCCAGGAAGCTTGAAGAATCGGCATTGTGAACGCTGTCAGAAGAGAAGGAATAGCATTGGTGGAAGCTTCCGTTAAATCTATTGGACTCTCCCAACACAGTTCCAGTTCCACTTCCAGTTTCTTAATAAGGAGGATTGTAAGATTTAAGAAAATTGTATTAAAAAAAGAAGTGTATGTATGAAATGAAATATTGCACTGTATGATTGACTTATGTACTGCAAGAAATGATGATGTAAATGATGTAGCAATCTGAAGTGCCAAACTTCAAAACAGCTAAATAGGTTGCACATAATTACCTCACCCAGAGCCTCTTGCAGTCATGTGGATTGATGCTCAGTGTTAGTGTATCTACACCTTCTGTCTCCGGTACTGAGTAAACTAGCATGACTGATTTTGGTGAAGTATTCTCTGTAAAAACAGTTGCCTTATATTTTACTACGCACACAGAGCTAGATGTTGACACATCATTTCCTCTTTGCTATCAAGTGATTAAATTAAATTTCTTTCAATGTGTGTTTAAGGTATAATCATTAGTTTTGAGAACAGATGCTTACCTGGCAGTATACCTGCCCACATGGCAACCATCCATGCCAGATGGTATTGTGAAAAGCTCATACGATAGATACTGCAATCAAACTGATTCTGAAATTAGAGAAAACAGAACAGGCATACAGCTTTGCTAGTTCTACTGGTATAGCCCCTTCACTCCCGCTACAGGGCTATACTACAACGTATGATTCTATATCCGGCCAGCTAAAAATTCACATTTATATCAATACCGGTAGAGCTACAGCCTTGCATACTTTAGAGCTGGTGTGGCAAAACTTTTGTAGGGAGCATTGCTGTTGTGTATGTACAACAGAACTAGTTAGTTGATAAATCCACGCGATAAACCACAGGCGAAACAAAAGGTTGAAATTAGCAGTTTTTATCACGCGTACACATATGCACACATGAACAAGCATAATGCTGTACCAATAGAAGTGTATTTACCCACCTGCATCCAGGCCATTACAATGTCTGTAAACATCACCTGGCCTCTCGTCAGCATCACGGGACAACAGGTGAATGAGCCCGATATTGATTTTGATGCATCATTCATTCTTCCTGTGAGCAGCAGAGTCAATACCTCACTGGGTTCATTGTCAGAAATCTGCTTCCGTTTCGCAGATACAGATAGTTTTACTGATTGCGCTCCATCTGTTAAAAAGAAAAAAGTGCACAGCATTTAGATTATAAGCTGTGCTCCTTTGGTTTTTTTAGCTTTGAGGTAGTAATATGTGAATTGCTTAACATGCACGCATACACACGTGCATGAACACAGGCACGCACGCACGCACGCACACAAACGCACGCACACACGTGAGTATTTAACTATTATTGCACATTCATACCTTGATCATATGCAAACCCTTCAAACACAGAGAAGGTTGCTTTGCAAGTTGTTTCAGAGTCTAATCCTACAGCAACTCCTTTTTTAATTGCCTATAAAAACAAAAGCACTTTTAATAATATATAAGAAAGAATTGACATAGCCAACAATAAACAATTGGTGAATGATAAAAAATATTAGTGTAGTAATATCAACAATAGATTACCAAATGTATATAGCTGCAAATTAAGATATATAAATTGCTGAGCTTTTGTTTTCATTATTTCTTTTATATTCATTCATTTCAGTGTGAATCAATGCAGGGTTTCTTCTGAGGGAAAATTAGACAACGGAGGTAATGTCCAGTTTGGGGAAAAAACGCGCATGATGGATTCAAAGGCGTGCAGTAGGCACGAATGTGGTTTCTGCCGACAAACGCGGGGGAGAGAGGTAGAGGGGGGTTCTGGGGTTCTCCCCCAGCAAAATTTTAAAAATTTGAATGTCTACTAATTGCTCTACGCATTGACGCAAAAGAAAAAAGCAGCCCGCAACACCCGTTACCCACGTCTGTGGCTGTACACATCGTGGCTGCGTACGTGCTTGCTGGCTGGGGCGGCATTGATTGAAGTACGGGGGGGGGGGACCGAGAATATGTAGGGGTGGGCACCGCTGGTATGAGGGAGCGACAGCAAAACTTTCCCGGAATCGAGGAAAAAGCTGCGACACGAGTGTGCCGGCACGCAAAAAGAAACGTTGCTGTGAATTTCATTATGATTTTCCATGTATGTAGTCAGGACTCAGAAGCATGTGGTGATCTATTTATTTTTGGATTGACACTATTTTGACAACGGCGGTGCAACGCAGTGCCTCCTATGTAGAAGAAACCCTGCAATGTGATATAATTAACTGTCCAATGTCAAAGTTTAAATTTTCAATGTCTTGTCACATTAATGATGTATGATGGAAATTAATGGGGAAAAAAGAAATTTCAATGCTTAATATTTTAAATGAGTCTTACGTGTTTAGCAATTAACATTGAACTGACCAATTTTGTAAGCCCTAGCTTAGAAGTACATTACCAACACTTACTGCTTCTAGTTCAACTGTTAGGCTCTTGCTGTAATTCTTGAGTAAGTTGATCGAGAAACTGTACAATGGTGATGCCTTGTAGATAGACCAGGTTTTATTTACCAACTCTAATAAAAAACAGTAATATACATTTTTAGGTACAATGTCACGTGACACAATAAAATAAACAGTTTGAAGTGTACACTTGCAGGAGAAACACATTAGATAAACAGATATAATTACAATAATGATAATTAAGTATTTCTATATAAACTGTATATTATCACACCTGCTGCTAGTAGGGTTTCAGGTTCAGTCTGTATTCTCGGAGTTCTGGTCCTTCTCCTACTCGCACCTACAATTGCGGTAAGACATAACCACACGTATCAACTGACGATTGTTTCTTACATGCTAACTTTGATGTGTGCAGCTATATGGGTTAATGGCATTATCTGAACATGCAATGGACACAAAACAGGCACAACCTGTATTTAAACTATGTTTACATGTAGATGAAATTAATTAAAGCACTTCAGCCGTGATATACAATATGTGGTTACACCCACCTATTTTTGTACTAGCTGTGCCAATGAGTCGGCTTTTTTGGCGCCGTAATGCAGCACTTCTCCTGGAGGCAAGCACGCCACTTGTTGCGGTTGCCTGACCATCGTTAATTTGAGTCAGTGGAGTAGTAAGCCACTGTTCCGTCTCAGCCGAGGTTAATGTCGTGTCACTCTCCATCACGTCGATACTCGGTGCTGGTCATGAAGATGAAATGCTCCTAAAATATTTCTTGCCATTACGACATTTTACGTACACCAATTTCGCCATTAGACTAGTACTAGTAGTATACCGCTGGGGATCTTAGTCCCTGGTCTGGGACCTAAGCCCTTTTATGCGACAACATCTGGTACCATGCATCAGGCATCACCCCTGCCGCTTTGAAGAAATATGATCACCACTATATTACTGAATTAATTTACAACATACGGTCACAAGACAATTAGACACAAGGCGTGTAATGTATTGCAAATCTAAGATCGAGTAAGACTATCGGAGTGATTTACTGATTAGGTTAGTGACAGTGTCACACCGACACACGTACAGTGAGTGACAATACGATTACGACACCGCAATTTCGGCCAAATTTCATTGATTAAACTAATTGTTTGACTTAAATTAACATGGAAATATTTAGTAATAATAGTATATATTCATGTACTCTATGATAATGATATGTTCTGTCAAGAAGCATGCTAGCTCAATTGTTAGAATGCCATCAAAACAAAGCACAAACTTACGTTTGAACAAGGGCGCGTTCATCAATCTCTTACCCAGAGTTCTTTGCGCTTATACATACCCTGGCGGAGACTGCAGGAAGCTTAGCTACTACTCTTTACCAGTAGATGGCGCCCATCGACCGACCTTAGCGATGTAGCATGAGAGGATTCAGAGCATATAAACCAAAGATCTTGTATAAATTTGTACTATCAGGATCTCTTAAAGTTAGGTATAAATATGTTCGATTTGTTCTGATATGTTGACCAAAATATAGGATCGGCTATGTGTGATCCCTGTATGTTTACATCAGCAACTAACCTTTATTGTAGTGCCTCTAGGGTAGACGACTACGGTTCGACAGACGTTAGTTCACAACGCGTGTCCAGTAGTAGGATTCAGAGTCCGCTCCTGTCGATGTATTAGGCAGGACGGCGATGACACGTAGCCGATAACAGGTGAACAGAACACGGTGAGATTCGGTTAACGATACGGTGATATAGCTTTTATTGCGTGTTACTAATGTACAAATGATTCCCCTGCATTCGTATATGCAGCGGACCTTTTAACAGTTTTATAAATTATTGATCCCGTCTAATATCTACGCGTCGCCGGCTCCGTCTGCTTCCCTCACGTTCGTCCTTGCCTTGCGTGGATCCACACAGTCTCCCAGGTATCTCCCCCGCCGTCGCTCCTAGCTCTACCAGAATGCCGTTCTTCGCCCGTTTTATTCCCCTCTCCCGTTCGGCTCTGGTTTACACCTACCTGAAAAGCCCTGTGCGTTTATCCTCTCGCTACAACGCTGCCGTTCGCTCTCTCTCTGTTCCTTCCTCCCTCTCCTTCTTCCCGCCTTCCTACCTATAACCTATCCCTGAAAAATAACTCTCCCTCTTTTCCGTCGTCCTCGGCTGCTTCCTCTCCTTCTTCTTCTTCCTCTTCCTGTTCTTCCTGGACCTGTACCTATAACTGCCTGAGCTGCGATTCTGTGCTCCTTATATACCCAGCCG